GGTATTCCTTTAATTTCTAATTAGGATAATTTTGCTATTAATTGATCCATTAAGGACTTATTGTTATCACCAATATGAAATTTATTTTTATTTAATTCTGGAGGAGGTTTGAATAGAACTGCTTTAGGTATAGGTGTAGCAGAAGGTTGTTCTTTTGAAACAAGTCTTTCTATTCGTTCTGCCTGTTTCCCTAAAGATTGCATATACAAATTTGTATAATTATTTTGTTCTACAATATGAGGAATCAATTCATGTTTCTTACCAAGCTCTTTTGGTAAGACTTTATAAGGAGTGGCTATTATATCATATATTGATTGTGGCTGTGGTGGTTCATCCTTAGATGGGATGACTGCTTTGAGTATTATACTTTTTTCAGGAGGGTGTGTAATAGCAGTGGTAGTACCATTCGTACTGATATAGGTTTTTTTTTCTATTTTTTTGAATGTTGTCAAATGAAGGAATAGTAATATTATATTGACTACACATTTCTTTTAACCATATAAAAAATCCTTTGGTTATTCTTTCTTTTTTAAGAAATTTATTATATTTTATATGCATTAACTCTATTAATCTAGGTTGAAATGTTTTTAAATACCATTCTCGAATTTGTTTATTTTTATCAGATAAATAATCTTGTCTGATATAATCTTTATTAACTTTTCTTCTTTTCCTTTCCAATTTGGCTGCCAAATATGCCGCCATATATTCATCAGAATATTGATCGTATGGATTTACTTCTTCTTCTATATCATCTTCAATTTGTAATGTTAATATTTGAAATTCTTCTATACTAGGTTCAGGAGTGTATGCTATATTTGATTCAGGGGTATATGTAGGAATAACAACATGATCTGTTGTTCTTCTTATTCCTTGTAATTGTAAATCTGAACGAGGTATTGATTGTGAAGAAGATTGGGGAGGAGAAGGTAGTATAATAACATCAGGAGTAGAATAAGATTTTCTACTTGGTATTAATGGCGTTTTATTCTTTTTCCGATTAATATTTATATCATCCTGTACTTTCGTTTGTTGGAATTTAATTTCAATATTTTCATCTGGATGTTCTATTATCTGATTTGGAATGCTATTTCTTGGGGTTGATTAGCATGTTGTAGTGCCCATGACTGTGGTAGAACAATGTCTGACCACTTAATGGTTTTGGGTACTATTGTATGAGATTTTTCCATATTTGTTTGAAATAATATAGTTTGATCTTTTTTATCTATTCTCATAATATTTGGACATAAGGTGTTCATGACTTTGTAATATATTCTGTATATTATAGCTAAATTTTGAGAATCATGTGTCATATTAAAACCATGAGTTTTTAAATTTATTGTTAGTATATCTAGAATATTTGGATCAGTTAAAGAAAACGAAAAATTTAGAAAACAGTTAAAATATATTGGACCACTACAGAGGCTTGATTCAACCATGCCAAGTAGTGAGTCTGTGAAATTATTGTGTCTTGTATCTCTTAGGCATACAAGCACTGAGGTCTTCAACCCTAGTCGGGTCAAAGGTTTAACAGCTATTTGAATAAGGCCAATGTGTAAATATTTGTAATTATTTTCTTTATGTTTTTCAATAACTTTTCTTGATAGTAGTTGAAAGTCTTCTTGATTCTGAGTTACAGATAAACTTTCTTCTACTGTCTTGATGGTATAACCCATCTTGAATTTAAATGATCCCTTATGATAAATGTCATGCATTGGTACCTTTGGTATATTCCAATTTTGAATATGATCTTCAATATCATTTATTATAATTTGTTCCTTATTTTTCACTCTAAGTGTTTGAGATGAAGTTGTACTGTTACTTGTAAGATTCCTAATTAAATTTGCCATCTGTAGGTTGCGGATAATGACAATCTGGACGATCAAGGGTCCAACGTTTTCCCCTAAGCGGCTCTTCCTGGCCTTGGCGGGTACTTTGCCTAGACTTGTCCTTTCGTCTCTTGCCTTAACTCTCGGACCAACTTTCTTAGTGGTAAATTTAAGTAGGTTTCCCTAGTAATAGTATAACTTTTACTCTAACAGGACTAGTGAACTATTGGGACAGATTATAGTTTATTGTTCATGTACTGTATAAACAGATTCCTGTTTGCACAGTTTTACTGTATGGCTCTGATAGCACAAATGCCTAGGATATATATATATATATATATGAAAAAAAATTATATAAGGTCGCAACTTTAAAATATAGAATTATAGATACACCTCAAAAACTCATCTGAAAAAGTTGTTTTAATATGGAAAAAACTTCTAATTGTTCATCTCGACATCGTGATGTATGAATATGAAAAAAAAAAATTTTGAGTATCATAAATAGTGTATATTGAAATATATTATCTAGATCGTCCATTTTTAAGATTTTCTTATAGATCTACTTGATATTAAGCATTTTTGGAGTTTGAAATTTTATAATTTGATATGCAAATAGATTTTGAGATAATC